ATCCATCGCGGCTGGCTCTTGAGCAAAGAAGCGGCTCGACATCTTCTTTTGAACAAGACACAGCCAAACTCCAATATTGGGCGAATATACATACAATATATCATCACTACCACATCACGACGTAAACCAAAAAGTTTTTTGCTGAGTCTATGAGGCATTCCAAGCGCCTGTGCTCTTTAGCTGCCATATTTTCTATGTGTGGACTCTAACTTAGGTTTTCAGTATAAGTCAATCCTAAGTATTTAGTCGATGTCACCTGCAGGATAGTCCTCTCTGTGAACTACGAAAATCGGCACTGGAACACTTATAAGAAAAACTACGACTGCACTTTTCCTGATGTTTAATGATAGATTAATGTCGTCTAACCATGTGTCCATACACTCATATAAAACTGTAGCATCTGATATATTGTATGTATATCTGTAGCTGTGGCAAAAAATGCTATGCCGTCAGCGTATACATACACCTGTACATCCTGTTGTACTGAAATTGTGCGCAATAAAATATGAAATAATAATGGTGAAAGAACTGATCCTTGGGGGCGACCTCTAGTTTTTTTAAAATTTGAAGACGACATGCCAAATTGAGAGCAATAGAATTCTCTATCATTTAGAAAGGAGTAAACCCATGCCACGAAGTAATTTCGTAACTCGATGTACGTTAGCGAATTTATTAGTTTAATGTGTTCCACACTGTCATAAGCCTTTGCAATATCTAAAGAGACTAAGACGGAAACCTGTTTCTTAGAAGGAGCTAGTTGTATCCTGCTTTCCAGATCAACATGGGCACACCAAATCGAGCAGCCACGCCTGAATCCAGTTTGGCATGGGCTTAAAATTGCATTTTCGTCCAACCAGTTGTCTATTGTATTGTGTAGAAGTCTTTCAATTAGTTTTACCAGATTAGATGTGAGTGAAATAGGCCTAATGTTATCCAAAGTAAACCCAGCTCAATGTTTTTTTAATAAAGGAATTATTTTCGCGATTCTCCACTCAGGCGGAATCCACGAATGGAGTAATTAACTATTGCAATTGAATCTTGAGGTGATACTTTATGGATTATTTTTATTACCGATGCAGTTATTCCATCGGGACCTGGAGCAGAATTGGGTAATGTTTTCACTACTACTTCTATTTCCGACGCTGTTAACAGGGACGGCGAGTGGTAAAAGTTAGCAGCCGTGAAGCGGCTTTCCAGCCCTTGAGCAATATTTTCCAAAAAACTAGGCAACTCACGTGGCGTTGAAACTATCGATTCGAGGTTTCTTTATTGTGGGATTACTTTTTTAGCTTTAAGGATGTTGAAAAGTTATTTCCTGTGGCCAGGCTTTGAAAGGAACTCGGAACGTTGGCTATCATAGTTATCTTTTGCAGCGGCAACTCTTCGCTTACAAATTGCAGCCACGTATTTGTAATCGCTTCAGTTTCTAGGGCACTGATTATAGAACAGTTATCGCCACGCTGCTTTTCTTATCCTGCAATGACGTGAACAATCAGAGTTCTACCAATGATTCAAAGAGCGTTGTTTGGAGACCTGAAGTGCGAATTTAGCTTTATTTAAAGATTGTTTTATAACATCCTCAAAATTGATAACGTGTCGCTCTTTATTTACCCCGGTTTGTTTTGACAAAGCCACACGTAGTGTCTGTTCAAATCTTTTAAAATTGATGTGAGAAGTGGGCTGCCTGACGATTGAATTCACGGGACATACAATTTCAAACAATAAAGGAAAATGATCGCTATTTGTACCCGAGTTTACAGTAGACCAAGTAGAAATACAGAGGCTAGGACTACAGAAAGTCAGATCAATCGCAGAATGAGACTGATTGCATACAAACGTGGGGGTTCGCTGATTAATGCATGTTAAATTATTTTTAGCAACAATATCCCACAAGCGCTTTCCACTTAAATCTGTTCTGAATCCCCACGAAGTGTGATGAGAATTGAAGTCTCTTACCATTAATATGTCTTTTCTGCAAGAAGAAATTATGTTATCTAAAACAGAATTTCGAACACCTGACGGAAAATAAGCGTTTATAAACGAAAAGGGAATGTGTTCTGGAAGAGCGATATCTAACGTTAAAATTTCACTTTAACATTAGATATCGCTTCTCCAGGACGGTCTGCCAGCTGTCGTCGTTGTTGTTGTTGTCGTCGTCGTTGTTGTTTTCCTCTGGAAATGGCTCGTACCCAAAGGAGGTGATTGACTGATTATAAGGTGAATTTCCCGATACTTTCAGCGTTGCGTCATTCCTAAAAAACACTTTTGGTATTATTATGATTTGAAGTGCCAATCACAAAATTGCAGAAAAAATAAAGAAAACAATGGTGAGACCGTAATTTAGCAAGAAAATCGTTTAGTCGCAGTGTTGTATTCCTGAAGAGTGAATAAAACATCCCTGTGGCTGAAACACAATGTAGAGGCTCCAAATGAAAGAAGATCAGGTTTTGATAAGTGCAAGCCCAGTTTTTGAAGCATCCTCCATCCAAGTAAGAGCCAAATTCGCGTCGTGCTCGTTCTTGTTATCGAGAGACGCACCGCTGGACGCTCGCGCGTCGTTACTTGGTTCTTCCATTTGACAAGATGCTACTCGCGTCGTTCGGTTGATTCTCCGACACCAAAGATCCGCCGGGAGGGTCTTCACTGACGTCGATGTAGACGAAGAATTTTGAGGCATTCTCATGGAGGCATGCTCGATAGAAACAGGGGAAGGGGCCGACCTCCATTTTCCTCCGCGCAAGGCGTATAATCCGAAAAGGAGGTTAAACAGCACTCACCATTAGCTTCTTACTCAGTCAAAAAATGTCGGAGAAAGTCAGTCGAGTGGTGGTTAGCCAGTCGACACACACACACCCGTCGCCACACTCCGCACGGTTCAGTGTCCCGGCGCCGCCGACCGAAGCCGGTAATACGGTGAGCTGCGTTTTTGTACGTCGTGTCTTCCGAAGTTGATAGTCTCTCGTGAACCTGGTTCAGGTCCCAGTTTTTGGTGTCCTTTGAATCCTCGCAACTTCACGAAAAAGATCACGCACTCTTTAAGTAGAGTTGAATGAAATTTTCACCTGAAAGCGTTTAGTAAAGCGGAGAACGATGTGAGAATTTCCTCAACACTCTACGCTACCTAGCGGGTCCCAATCATAGGGTAGGGCAGCGCGTTCGCGGCTTACGTTCCAGGCAAACATTTTTAGGAGGCGTTGGCTAGGTGCCTCTCAAAACCATCAGGAAATGTGTGCATGAGTCGCCACTGTGAAACGCCACCACCGAGCTAAGTACGCTGTTTCTTTGTTCACTTCATAGTATTTTTATACGTGAGTGCTAGCTACTATACTCCGTGTCATACATCAGGTGCAACGCTGTGAAGGCTAGGCAAGTAGTCCGTAAAGAAAACACGAGGTGTTGCTCCGCGCGGTTTCGTAGCCGAGTGGTCTGACGCGTCGCTCCGGAGAGTTCACCGTAGTTTTGAAGTGCATGGGTTCGAATCCACGTGGTGCCATTTTTTTATAATTTTTGCGAGTTCAATTCGAAATCTTGTTTTTTTTTTCAGTAACTTCAACTTACTTGCACGCGGAAGTGAACTGCACGTATCTATTCATTTGTAGCATACCGTGTTCCCTTGTGAGGGCCGGAACCTGCTGAGCTGGCACCGAGGTTTGACCAGCATGGCGATTTTGTCGCGATTATACCGCATTGTCGGTTTACCTTGTTGATGTAAGCAAGTACTGCGTGTAAGATGACGTTAATTCATTGATTAGGTAGCACAGCAGCTCCAATGAGGCTGGGTTAACGATAGGTGCTCACCTTCAACTTTTGTTTTCGTCATTGCCCCGATGATCCACTTTTCTGTGCCGCTCTTTAAACACTCAGCAGGTTATTGATTATAGCGGGCCGCCGGCAGAGAAACCTGTTCAGTTTTAGCAAAACAGTGCGGAATCGACCTTCCACTGCACTGTGCGGTATCCATACGCACTTCATGCGAGTAACGAATGATATGTTATTCAGGGAAAAGGGAAGAAAGCAAATTTGTGTAGCTCGGAATAGTGATTTTGGCACACAAACGCATAAAACATTTCCTAGACTTGGTATTCGCCCGTTTACTGTCTTAATATATGCGACATTGTTTTGAATTGTTATGCGCAATTTATTTCTTCAGTATAATTCCAACCCATCCTCCTTCCCGCAAGTAAGAGTTCCTTTTTTATCGTTCAAAAAAGAGTTTCAGCTAGGCTGTCATTCGGCAGAAACTCTAAATTTTAATTTATGCGTCAATCGTTTTTTTATCAAAACCTGGATATGGCCCGTTTTTCTCGGTTGAGAAAATCTTTATGGTATAGGGTAATTCAGTGCCCAAAAATTGTACTGGTTCAAAAAGTTGGATATTCGTTCCGTACATACATACATCCAGGGGCAATACTTATCACGTGCGATGGACCAATATTCCAAACCGATGACGACTTTTGTGGTTTAAAAAACGCAAACTTTATTTACAGAAGAGCACCTCTGGCCGATGTCGTGGTGGGTTCCGACATCTTCTTTTTTTCCTTTTTTATACCAAGTTTTTACAGAGGTCATGTGACCATTCCGAACGTTCGCACTTCACAACAAAACATAAATAAGGTAATTATTACGGAGCAGTACAGTGCAGTGTCCTTCCTAGCCCGGGTCACTTGGCGACGTTAAACCCAACGCACAAAATCACACGATGAGGAAGCACTCTTTGCTTTGTCATAATAACACAGCCTTCTTGGGGAATGAGCTCAGCATGAAGCAGCACGAGCAGGTTTTCTAGAAAGGTGTCCACAATCTAGCTCAACCAGTCTACCCTCGTGAACAAAGCCACGACTGACAGGCCGCACATTCCTCGAAAGTCAGCAAAGTTCTTCAATGCCACTCAACTCGTCATCACTGAACTGAGCACCCGACTCATCGGAGGAGGAGTTGCACGAATCACAAATGTAAAAGACAAGTGGTTCGATTTCACTATCCACAATCATGTCCCGTTCTCATGCTTCAGCTTCAACTTGCTCTACAAGAGCGCAGCAGTTTTGCCACTTCTTCTGTTTTACAGATGCCAGTGCTTCTGGCAGAAGCTTCTCTACTTCAGCCAAAGTGAAACCCGTATTCCGTGCTGCGATGTACCCCTTTACCTGGCTCCAAACAAGCTCGATGGGGTTGAACTCGCAGTGGTATGGTGGTACACGAAGCACTTCATGGCCGTGGGTAGCCGCCAGAGTGTCGATGCGGTACACAATACTGGGTGTGTTGACCTTTTGGGAAAGTTCCAGCAGTTCAGCTCTCACCATGTCATCTGACCACGGAACACCTTTCTTTGTGAGCCAAAGCTGAATATCAGATTTGCGCGTCGACTTGGTAGGTGCTTTCTCAAGAGCTACGCTGTGGTATGGCGCATTGTCCATGACAATAACGCTAATAGGCGGAATGTTTGGCAAAAGCTTGTCGGTGAACCACTCCTCAAAGTATCTGCCATCCATCTCAGAGTGGTAGTCAGCGCTGCCCCCCTTTTTTGCTCAGAAGTAGTCAGCAGCTCCTTCGATGAAACCAGTTGCACTGCTGCCAGCATGTACGAGGATCAAACGGGCCCCTTTGCCCGAGGGTTCAGCCAATCCTCTCGTCAGACCTTTAAGGAAGGCATCTTGCGATGACTTCACAGTCGTGTCCTGCCAAACGTACTCCTTCGTGTGCCCTGCGTTGACCCATGTTTCATCCAAGTAGATGATGCACCTGTACAAAGCAAAACGAACGAGCGCACGAGTTAGCGCACACAAGTAAACATACCCACAGCAGCAGCTTGAGTCTTGGCATGACCATAGTCGAAAATACTGCAAAGGACAACTTGAGCAAAAAGTACAAAAATCATTCATATGCATATTCTATTTTCTTTGTTACCCACTCATATGCTGACTGCTCTTTCGCAAACAGCTGCTTAGCTTCAATCGAGGAAAAAAACGGTCAGCGTCAGTGCTTTCTTTAGTCGGGCTTTAATTCGGCACGTAGGTGGCCTTTGGCTGTCAGTTCTGATTCATGGCAAGTTCACAGGTCACACATGCGGTATTCGGTAAGAATTCATTCGCCGTCGCTATCATTTTGCACGAATGGAAACAAAAATAGACACCAAAATTACCAACAATGCTGCCAGTAACTCGCATCTTTCATGGGAATGAGCGCTTACCGCACCAAACGGCGGAGATTTAGTGAATAACTCTCACCGATTGAGTCAAATACCCCCCCCCCCCAACAAAACAAAAGTCGTTAAATGCGATCTGCAAGCAATTACCTTGCTTAACCGTTTTCTTTTTTCCAGGTTGTAATTCAGATGTAATACTCTCCATTACGATTATAAAGTTGCAATGCTAACATCAAGTGTTATATCAAGGCAATCTACATGTGCTGCGTAAGGCAATATGAAAATAACGGTTCCCTCCTGCCCTGTCCTCGGAATTTCTGGATCGCCCGCAAGTACCTGCTACGCCAGGCAATGATGTCACTGCGCTCGATTAGCGCAAGATTCAGTTTTCTTTTAGCAAAGGTGAAGCCGATGTCCTTCATTAGCCTCCACAAGGTGGTTTTCGTGAAGTTCGGCAAGTCGTCGTCTTCATTGACAGCCCTTATCACACTGTCCAGTGTTGGGATGTCCCTCTTGGCGTACATGCTGTGCACTTACAGACGGATGGCATGGATTGTCAAGCTGTCATGTTTGACGGTTCGCGAGCTCGAAATCTTCACCTCGCGAGCTCGTTTTTTCGCTGACACCAAAGGCCCACGCAGACGCTCCGCCTTCAATTTCACCACGGTACGGGGAGATATTCCAGTGTCCTCGCTCACAACACTCAGCACTTCCCGCACAGATTTCTCCGGGAAACGCATCCTGATACGGGCGTACACATTTGCAATTACTTGCATGGCGTGCTTTGACAGCTTTGATGTGCGAAGCTTCGAAAAAATTCGCGCAGGAGAGGTGGTCGAGGACGCAGAGCTGGGCGCCATTTTTTCGAAGCTGCCACAACAACAACAAAAAAAAACGGCTGCGCGGGTCGCGCGGAGAGCGAAAACCTGATACGAAAGCGACAAACATAAATTACCAACTGGCATATTTGGATTGTTTATCCGACAACACAGGCGTTTGTTTTTTAACCTGAGGACAAATATGTATGCTTAGAAGTTTCCCGAGAAGCATTTATTGATTCTCGTACACCCCAAGTGACGCACTACTTTTTGGTCGCGGCAGTACACAGCGCAAACAAGAGCGCTAGCTTTGACAGCGTTGCACATGATGTATGAAACGGAGTATAGAGCTGGAAATGCATACAGCATTTCTAGCGACATGAAAACGCCACGTGCGGTGAATGGCACTACAGGCTGCGCGTTGTAAGAAAAACAACATTTTTCTTCTAACTTTGGTAATGCGAAACGCCATCATGAACGCTACGCAATGCATTCGCAGTGCCAACGTTGGCAAAGCACTCACCTGCCCCCAAGTTTCCTTGGCGGAGGTGGGGGCTTTCTTTCTATTCAGAGCGAAAGCCGCTCTTGGCCTCGACCAACTGCGTGTGGTTGGCAATATGTTCTATTATGAAGCATGTACACAGGTGGCATGTTTGTAAAGTTTAAACGTGAATCTCCCTGTACATATAAGCAGGCGCGTGGCTGTGCAAAACACCTGCTTGACACGCAAACAACCTTGATTGTTCACACACCCGCAATGATTTTTTTATTTTTACTTTAATGGCACCAACCTTGGCTTTTAGGTCACGGACAAGATGATATTTTTCTGAGAACTTTAGACGCTGACACAGTAGGAGACACCGCTATATGTTAGAAACGAGCTCTTTAATGCTGTTTCGATGAATAGGGCTCTCGACATCGATAGTAAACAATGACACAGTTTCCTGAATTTGTTGCCGAGAAGTTTTTTGCAGTTTTGTGCGATTGGCCGGCATGCCTAGCATCTGGATCACAAAAAATGCTCACATGAAGATGCAATGTCTATCTTCCGTCAATATTTTTTTTCACTCGCACGATTGGCTTGTTTGTGCGTGTTTTTTTTTCAATTTGTTTTCATGCACAATGGCGGCTAGGCCCAGCATTGCTTGAACACTTCGGGGCTTTGTGCAGCGTTACTGGCATTTATGTAACTCGTCGATTGAGGCTATTACACGTGGTAACCACTAATATTGATTATTTTTACTCTTTTTTGGGCTTTTCGTCTCATGGTGAATACGTCCACACCTGTTCATCTTCATTTTATTCTCTTTTGAAAACAGCTTTCAACCAACCTGCTTTATAGAGCCCTTTATTTATAGCCAGTCTCTCTTCCTTCTTCGTGAATGCCACTGCAAAGGCCTCGCACAAAGTGAGGAAGCCCGGGAAGGACCATTTCCCCAATTAATCAGTGCTAGAGCCGTGGTGCGCGTCGGGCAATCTATCAAAGGAGTGCACTGTGATGCAAGAAAAAAATATATGAAGTAGCGAAAAGCCTAGTAGTAAAACAAAAATTTCTCTAGTACGGCAATAGGCAGAGAGCCTCGGCAGAATGGATACGCTTCCCCGGGAGTCATTTTCCTTCAGTGGGTGACAAAAAAATGCAGGCCCGCTATCGTTAACTGTCACAGGAAGCGTGATTAGTGGCAGCTCGTAGTGGTTTGCCATATGGATAGGAGTATGGCAGCCTAGTGGGGAGGCTGAGAATGCGCTGGCGTACTCTACCATCCATTACAACCCTTCTCTGCTCTCTTTTGCTTTTTTACTTCCACTCGGAGAGCCTTTTACTGCTTTTCTACCTCTTCTCCCCGAAAAGCTTTCCCACCAACTAGTATAGCCATATTTACTGTGCCCAGAAAGCCTGCCACGGACACCTCCTTCAACCGGCCCTCTCGGTAACACTGCCGATTGTGGTCATTATTTCAGCGACACCACCTGCCGGTGCTGAGTGCACGGTGTGTATACGTCCGCGCTCTCAAACATTAATGAATCGCAAGCTGCGTGACGCTCGGGGTTATCGAAGTATACAGTATTACCACTGATTAAGTTCAAACATAAACTGTGGCATTACAGTTTCGTTGTTTGTTCATTCACTTAATGCAAGGCACTTCCTAACAAAACAAGGACACTCTGAGCGTTTATATTTGTATATAAAGTAGATACGAAAAATATATGCGAATACTCTATCTATTTGCTTACGTCACGATGCTCCCGCACTCGCCTACTGATCTAGATGTCCACAAAAGTTTTTTTAGCTAGATAAGAGGTTTTTCGTGACCAGACATTCACGAAAATGAGTGTCTGCTAATCTCACAAGTAACGCGATTGTCTTGTCTCGTGCGTCGTCAAACTCTTTCTCTAAACACGTGTGGCGAGTACCCGTATGTTACGAGCCGCGGCATGCAGGTAGGCACCACTGTTTATTGATGGTTTTTAACTGTCCAGTAACCGCGAAAACAAATATTGCTAGTAACTGCAATACCGTTAAGAAAAGAAGGAATCCAAAGCGTTCTCTCGACGAATGCAAAAGACAAAAATCAGTATCTCAAAAGCGATCAAACCGAAACTTTCTGCGTGCTGCGTGACATCTCGTTATTCTGCAACAAAGCTGCACCAGGAAAATACCTTAGAAGAAGACGCCAGACGTGTCATTGTAACGTCAGTTGTGGCTGCACTGGTGGCTATTAGTTTTACAGTGAAAGCTGTATATGTTTTCACTAAACCAAAAACTATGCGCCACAAGTAACAATACCAGTCTTCCTTGGCTGCTCCATCACTCACGCCGTTCTCTACATCGCACCCAAGCGCATGCCACTGTGGACGCTGTCAGTGACGTTCATCCCTTTACAGGCACGGCGCCCACCGCGCAATCAGCAAATGTACTGCAGACAACTTTCAAACAACAATGCCAACAGCTGATATTTGACAGAATTTCTCTGTGCCGGGCCCATGAAACAGTCTGGACACAAGAACAAGTCCGGGCAGCACCTCATCTTTTTTTTTCAATTCCCGGGCGAACGCTGTCTTCAGGCTATCGTGCTCGCGCTCCTGCTCCACTCGCTGCTGCCGCATGGTGGTGCTGTGCGAGTAGTCTACGAGAAGCTGGCGCTGAACGGCTGCAGATATTAGGAAGCTCAGAAACTTGTGTTTTGATGCGAGTAATTTCCAGTCGTGTTTTTTGACGGCTTCACGGATGCAGGGAGGATTAAAAGTAACACGATCATAGCGGCGCGCTGTTTTCACCGGCCTTTGTCAGGTTTTGCTACCCGCTCGATATATGCGTTCAAGATTTATAGCATTCGCGTTTCATTTTTTATTTTTTTATGGTATCGAAACTCAGATATTTGCATGCCTCAGCATGTAATACTGCTATGTACCACTCTGCGTATCAGACAAAAGAACAAATAGTCTTTTCTTTCATTTCTGATTAGTTAAAAAGCTTGCCGGTCCTCCGATGAATTCACCTGAGGTGACTTATTTGTTTTTTCGTTAA